GGGTTTTAAATTTATAGCTTATACTTGAAAAATATGATAAGAAATCTAAATATTTGAGTATTTGGAGCTAGTTATTCTAGTAGGTTGGAAAAAATGATATTTAGATATTAGGATTTTGTCATATATGGCTAAATCCGAAAATTTGGGGAAATATATGAATTTTTGTTATTTTCACTTGTGATTGTTTTATGGTATTATTAAGTTAGATTAGTTGAAAATAACTTATCTTATGCTTGAATTCTCACTTTGGATGAATATGGAAAATATAAGAAAGGAGCTTTTGATAAGATTTATGTATTTAGTTAAAAGAGAATTTAAATAAGCAATGTGGATGATTATTATCATAAAAAAACTTATTGAATTTTTACGGGGCAGCCGGGAAAGGTTAGTATTAAAGAGTGAGGGATGTAGAGTGATTCAAAATTAAGTGAACGTATGTTTAAGTAACCAAATAAAAAGATAAATATTAAGTCTCAGCTTATTGAGGGATATATATATATATATATTTTATTTTATTTTGATGATAAGAAAGAGTTATTATTGAGAAATCCCTTGTAATTGTATATGGATGGAATTAAAGTAGCTTATATTTATGATCGTTTCAGGAGGGGATTTGGACGTGGGAACAGCATACCAGCCCCGTTAGTCCAGCCTATACTTGTGAGTGAAGAATCTATATTTTCAAAAAGAAGATTTTCTTTTTATTTTATAGAAGCATGTTAATTAAATGGAATGCTTTATGTTCGAGAAAGAGTAAATGAGTATGATTGTTTTGGAATTATCATAAAATAATTGATGTGATTATCTTACTCTAATGCACTGAGGGGCTACGGCCGTGTATTAGAGTCATGTATTTAACTCTTATCCACTGAGGGGCTACGGCCGTGGGTAAAGTTATCCATTATATACTGAGGGGCTACAGCCGTGTGTAAGGGTAACTCTTATCCACTGAGGGGCTATGGCCGTGGGTAAAGTTATCCATTATACACTGAGGGGCTACAACCGTGTATAATGATGATTATGTTATTCCCATCTTGTACACTGATGGGCTACGGCCGTGTACAGAATATTGACCAGACGATTTATGTACATATGATTTATGGCTTTCAGATTATTAGTAGATGTTTGCTTGGGATATATATTTTGATGTGAATTTTAATTATATAGTGGATTATTATCTCATATTTTCCTGAACTTTTCCTTATAGGAGGCTGTTGACTGAGCGGTGGTGGAGATTATTTTGATAGTTTTGCAGCCATTGCTACCACCAATTGTAGGTTCTTTTGTTTGAAATTGTGTAATCATCAAGTAAAATATTTACATCATATTGGAGGAAAATTATTTTGGTATTTATATACACCAATGATCATGATGTAATATTGTAATCTAAACAGCTTCCTATTATCCTTTTGAGAGGCAGTTTTGATGTATATGTTATGGATGTTTTTGGTTAAACGAGCAAATGATAGTATTATGTTGGTATTTTATTTGGAGTTTAGAAAGATTTTAATTGGTCAAATGAAGCTTTATTATTAAAGTTTAGCTACTTTTGCCTTGGTGATGGGTCCAGTGCCTAGCTGGCACTTATCATCGGCTCACGTCACGTCTTAAGTCTTAGGACGGGATGTGTCAGGAGCCATTCATCCATTGACAGAAAAGGTGATCGATTATATCAATCTCACTTTAAGCCACAAAAAGCTCCTCACAAACTGGATTAATTCGATGCCACCATTGAAATTTGGGGATCAAATGATTCCAGAAGAAGAGTTGGGGGATCTTAATGGAAGAAGTCATTTTGAACTTCATTTGATTTTGATCATTGTCGTTTTACAACTAAATTTGAAGGGCAAATCGGAGCAATACAAGCATGTTCCTTTGAGGCATTTGTTCATGATGAACAATGTTTTTTACATCGTACAAAAGATCCAACGATCTCATGAGTTGTACGAGATGATTGGCGATGATTATGTGGCGAAACTGAACTGGAATGTTGAGCAAGCCATGACAAGCTATCAGGTCTCGACTTGTAACAAGTTTTTGTCTTGTTTTCGAGAGGACGGACTTTATGTTAGTTGGTGGTGCTTTTGTTCTCAAGTGTCGAAAGGTGCACTAAGGAAACGTTTCACGGCCTTTAATTCCCAGTTTGAAGAGATCCAGAAATTTCACTCAAACTGTACAGTACCCGATTTGGAGCTCCGGGAAAAGCTTCGTGTGTCCATGGTTGACAAGCTGATTCCAGCATACAAGGAATTCCTACGCAAATTCAGGACATATACTGAGATTGAGCAGAACAGTGAAACACAAACGAAAAGTTTTCAGAAAATAAATGTAAAGCATTCAGTTGAGGATCTTGAGGCTTTGATCTCAAAGCATTTGTTTTCATATAATGAAATTTGAACTCACATAATAAAATTTGCTAGCCTTGTTAGATAAATGAAGTCACATTTTCAAATTTATCAACTAGTTCATGAAAAAATGGATAGAAATAGCAACTTGATCCAAGACATTAGAGTTTAATCTGTTTGAACAATATGATGGTCTATTTCGTCTCCCATTTTCACGTCGCCAATGAAGCTGCTGACGTCCTCACTAAACCGTTGGCTCGTCAACGTGGCTAGTTACCTTGTTTATCCAAAATTATGTGTAATATACTTGCAATGACAAGGCCGGCCTTGATAATTAAACCTCCTTTGACCATAAGGTAGCCAAGTTGGAATTGACTACCTTGCAAGTGACATATCTCTACACTTGCAAGTTGCCTTAATGCATTATATCTTGTCTCTTTCAAACTCTATAATAGTTGGCATGTCACTTTCCATGCAAGTGGATCTATATAAGCCCCTATATTTTAAGCATTATTACAGAAAAATTTAATATAATTATACATAATTTAATACAGACAACTAAGTCTGAAAATTTGAGGAGGAAAATAATATAATGTCAAATTTTAACATGCAATACAAATTATAAGCGAAGTTTGGCAAATAGGAATACAATACAATGGGGAAAAGGGCCTGTTCAATTTTTTTTTTAATCATTTTTTCACTACATCTATTTCAAACAAAATTGAATATGCATTCAACTAATGTACAAAATTAGAGAATGTTGACTGCGAGAGATAGTATAACAAAATAATGAAAATGACGATCAAATACGAATGAACTTTTAATTTTATATTAATTCATAAGAAATTAACTTACAAATAAGAAATATGAACACAGACAAAGAACTATTAAATTCAAAATACCTTTAACAAACATTTAAAAAGGTTATTGTCATGAGATTAAACCAAAACAATAATAACAACAGCCTTGTACTCTGTAGTATATGTTTTGAAGATAATGAGAGAGAGAAAGAAACCTACCAGGCTGTGAAATGACAATAAGACCAAACCAATCTAGTAAATTGAATCTTCAAAATTATGGTTAAAAGGGTAATAATTTAACTCTTGTTTGGTTGAAAAAATTATGGTGGGTTACCGTTGGATGTAAAATTTAAAGAGACAATCAGACATTTTGTTTTTTCAAGAAAAGAAAATGAATGTTTGGATGATAAATGGTCACATAGTTATAGAAAGAGAAAGTAATGTTTGTAATATGTTTATGTGATAAATAAATGTGAGTGATAAGTTTTATGTCATTTACATATATATTTTTTAAAATTTTTTTTGTATTTTTAATTTTTATTAGTTTCTTGTTTTTTCATATGATTGTTTTATTTTAAAGAATTTCATAAATATAATTTTCGTTTTTTTTTCAATCAACCAATTAATCTTACATAATTTGTGGTTCTCACCAAAGTGGGAACTTAGATAATTGCCTACTCCGCCTATAGTGAGAGCCGCCATTGTTGAAGTTCCTCTAATTTTATTTTTTATTGACTCGATGTTTTCCAATAATTACATATGAAGTTTCCTCTCAAACGCGGCAATTCAAGTCTTCCATCTTTTGTTTAGATTTATATAGGGATCACCTGGAAATTTTGCCACCATACTTTCTCAAGAAAACAAGATACAAGCATTTTCATTATCACACAAATTTACAAGTTGGAATTTTGAACCAAAATTTTTTCTACCATCTGTAACATTTCGACAGAAGGTCCATAGATCCAATGACTTCAACAATATCATATCAATCAGCTGTTGATACAATCTATCATTGGCATCATAGACCAGTTAAACAGCTAATTTTCGACCGTAGTGTAAGTGAAATAACTCAATACATAGACGCTGTTGACAGAATCCAGCAGTCCCTCGCGAGCGGAACAGAATCTGGTGACCTGAACTCCATAGCCATGGTTCAGCTCAAGCACGAGTTTCTGACAGTACTCACAACAAAATCTGATCTGATTGGCACATTTGATTCAATTACCTCTGGTTGGAGTTCATTATGGACACGAGGATTATTTATCAGCATACAATTCACCAAGTGACGAAGTGATTTTATATCTCAGACATGTGGCAGAAAGATTAAATTCCGACGGACACCTTGGAGATTGCATCAAAGTGTACAGGAGTGTGAGGAAATCCTTTTTCCACACTATGATAAAACGGCTTCACTTGGAAGAATTGTATATAAGGGGGGATGCAAAGAGTGCCTTCAAGAAAAACAGGTTTCTATGGGAAGAGTTGAAGGTGAAAATTGAACTGTGGATTCGAGTCTTGAATTTGTGTTTTTGTATCTTCTTTGACTTGGAGAAAAAAATTAGTGAGAAATTATTCTCTGGTTTTGGAAATGGGGCTAGTGAAGAATATTTTTGGGAAATAGTTGGAGATTCTGCAAATAATTTACTTGTTTTTGCAGAAACAGTGAGTTCCATTAATCAGTCCCCAGAGAGAATGGGAACAATTTTAGACCTATACGATACACTGTTGTTTCTTTTACAATACATTGATACCCTGTTTGACTTCGATGCAGCAGAGGCTATTCGAAAAGCCATGAAGGTGACAGTGCCTCAACTCGAGAGTGATATAAGAAGGATGTTATTGGATTTTGAGAATTTCGCGAGCTTTCGACTATACAAGATGAGAGGGGTGCCACTCATCCATTGACAAAACGCGTGATGAATTATATCTCTCTCGTTTTATGCAATAAAAAGCTCCTCACAGATTTGATCATATCAATGCCACCATTAAAATTTGGGGATCAACTGATTCTTGAAGGAGAATTGAGGGATCTCAAAGGCAGAAGTCATTTGTCTCTTCATTTGATTTTGATCATTGCGGTTTTACAACTGAATTTGAAGGGGAAATCAGAGCAGCTCAGTCATGTTCCTTTAAGGCATTTGTTCATGATGAACAATGTTCATTACATTGTAGAAAAGAATGAAGAATCCAAGGAGCTGCGAGAGATTATTGGCGATGATTATATGGAGAAACTGATTAGGAATGTTAAGCAAGCAATGACTAGCTATCAGGTTTCTACTTGTGACAAGTTCTTGTCATGTTTTCACGAAGAGGGACTGTATGTTACTTGGTGCCTTTCTACTTCAGGTGTCAAAACGTGCATTGAGGAAAAGATTGAAGGCCTTTAATTCAGTGTTTGAAGAGATTCAGACACTTCACACAAACTGGATAGTACGCGATTCAGAGCTCCTGAATGAACTTCGTGCGTCCATGGTTGACAAGTTGATTCCAGCATACAAGAAATTCCATGTTGAGGTTGAGAGAAACAGGGAAATACACAAGAAATACTTTCAGAAAATAAATATAAAGCACTCATTCGAAGATCTCGAGGCCTTGGTCTCAAAGAATCTGTTTTCAAATTATGAAATTATTGTTTAAGAGAAGGTATTGGCAAGCTTGAAGTCCTAGATTTCCTCTGTTGTTGAGTGTGGGTGTAGCAACCTATTCCTACGGGACAGGATGATCGTCTAGACTTGAATTTCAAATAGATCGTATAAATGAATATTGTTGTTAACACCAATTATGTCATTATGTTTGCCATTTATTTTTTGGCAAAGTAGCATTATTCATTTACTATCTCTATCTCTCTACGATTTTACATTATTTATCCGGGTTGTGGTCGTGCATTAACATGTTTGGACGTGAGAATTAGATAGTGCTGGACAATATTAAAGTTCGTACAAATGAATAATCAGATAGTTGTTAATACCTATTATGTCATTATATTTGTCACCTATTTTTTTGGCTAAAGTAGCATTATTCATTTACTATCTCCATCTCTCTGTGACAGTACATTATGTGTACGGGTTTTGGTCATGCATTGACATGTTTGGACGTGACAAACAGATAGTGTTGGACAGTATTATAGTTTATATAAATGAATAATTAGATAGTTGTTAAAACCTATTATGTCATTATATTTGTCACCTATTTTTTTGGCAAAGTAGCGTTATTCATTTACTATCTCTGTCTCTCTATGATTGTACATTATGTGTCCGAGTTCTGGTCGTACATTAACATGTTTTGACGTGACAATTAGATAGTGTTGGACAATATTAAAGTACTGGACAATATTAAAAGTACAAGAAAAGCTCAAATCTTGTCAATTATGCATCAATCACTTGAAAATTGCTAAGATTCCTTATTACTACATATAGGAGCGGACGCAGAAATTTTTAGTTAGGGGTGCACAATCAAACTCCGTACAAATTAAAAACTTTGTTATTGATTTTTGAATAATTTATACTTGATCTGAGAAAATACAAATTTACATTTAAAAACATTTCTTGATTAATATTTGCTCATAATTTTCTTCCATTTGATTTTGAACAATCATTTTATTAATAATTTGCTCATCACAAGAAAATTCATATTTATATTTAAAAAATTTATAGTGTATTTAATATGCTTAATCAATTTAAGTGATCGAAAAGAAAAACATATAACAAATATTTAATAAATAAATAAAATTCGTTAAATATAAATTAAATTGGATATAGTCAGTTTAGACACATTTTATAAACACAAATAGGATAGGGAAATGTAAATTTAGATTCTAATTAAGAAAAATTTGATTGAAAAGTGAAAATTTGTAATGGATGTGGTAATTTGTAGAAAAATTATAAACAAATTTTAAAAATTAGAAGGGTTAAAATTTTGGTAAAAAGTGTAAATGAGAGAGTAAGATGGAGTAAGAGAAAAGAAAAAAAAAATCGAATTTATTGTGATTTTGCCCCCTATTTGGTTGGGGTTAAAATCAAATTTTTAGTAAATTTTGATAAAAGTTAAAAAGTTAAGGATTTCATGAAATATGCTATTAAAATTAATTATTAATTTTGATTTAAATTAAAATTAAAATTAAAATTTCAAATGATATCAAACAGGATTTATCCACCAAAAAAAAAAAGAAAAAAAAAAGTGGGGGGGCGGGGGGAAGGAATGTGGGGGGTCACTTGACCCTACAGGACCCAAGACCCACTTTGGGTCCGCCAGTGACTACATATGAAGCTTCCTGTCAAAAGTCTTCCTACTTCTTAGTCTTCCTTTGACATGGAAATTTCCAATCTCTTACCTGGATAATCAATGGTTGAAATTTTTAGCACCAAAAAATAACTCTCTCATGTTTCAGTTTTCAATTAAGTGACAAAAAACAAAAATCCATCCCTGTTTTTCTGATCTCTTGAGCCAATTTCACTTGCTTTTTATTCAATTTGTTGTCATCTTCAACCATGGCTGATGCAATTATAACTGTAATCTTGACACGATTGGCTGAAATCATGGAAGAACAGATCCGATGGCAGGTGAGATTAGTTGTGGGGGTCAAAAAGGATATCGAAAAACTCACCAGCGGATTGGAATCCATAAGAACTGTGCTTGTTGATGCTGAAAAGAGACAAGTGAAGGATGAATCAGTCAAATTATGGTTAGAAAAGCTCAAAGACATAGCCTACGACATGGACGATGTGTTGTCTGAATGGCTAACTGCAATTCGAAAGGCGAAAACTGAAGGTGTTGAAGATTCATCCCTTTCCAAGAAAAAGGTATGGTCTTTTCTCTCTTTACCTTGCCTTGGATTTAGACGAGTTGTCCTACGTCGTGACATAGCCCTCAAGATTAAGGGCATTAACGAAAGACTCGATGTTATTGCCACCGAGAAAGATAGGTACAGTTTTAATACGTTAATGGAGAGTGGTGATCCTGAGAGACTAAAAACTAACTCGTACATTGATGTATCTGAAGTACGAGGTCGAGATATGAATAAGAATACTCTTGTAAGCAAGTTGTTGTCTGAAAGTAGCCAAAGTCATGGATTCCATGTTGTTTCCGTAGTCGGCATGGGAGGAATTGGTAAAACAACTCTAGCGCAAATGGTCTACAATTGTGCTTCTGTAGAGCAAGATTTTGAGAGAAAAATGTGGGTATGTGTTTCTGAGCCATTTGATGAAGTTCGAGTTGCAAAAGCGATTGTTGAAGACCTTGAAGGTAATGCTCCGTTTTTATATGAACTTGAAACTGTATTGCGCCGTCTTAGGAACGCTATTTCAGGAAAGAAGTTCCTGCTTGTGCTAGATGATGTGTGGACAGATGACTACAGGAAATGGGAACAATTGTTCAACTCTCTCAAAATTGGTGCAGCTGGAAGTAAAATTCTAGTAACGACGAGAAACGAGAGAACCGCAAAAATGTTGAGAAGTAGCTATGAGCTTCATTTGGGGCAGTTGGCAGACGAGGACAGTTGGTCGCTGTTCAGTCAAATAGCGTTTTTTGAAAGAAGTATAGAGGATTGTGAAGAATTGGAAGGAATTGGAAGGAAAATAGCTGACAAGTGCCGGGGCATACCTCTTACTGTAAAGACTATTGGCAGTCTTATGCGGTTCAAGAATTCTTTACAAGATTGGCAGAATGTTCTGAATAGTGAATTCTGGGAATTTGAAGGAGCAGAAAAAGGTCTCTTTCCTCCTTTGATGTTGAGCTACTTCGATTTGCCCTCGACAATGAAAAGGTGCTTTTCGTTTTGTGCATTCTTTCCAAAAGATCACGTCATCAACGCAAACAATTTGATCAAACTCTGGATGGCGCAAGGCTATCTCTGCCCTGAGAAAAATGTAGAAATGGAAGTATTAGGTGAGGAATACTTGCAAAATTTGGCTATGAGGTCTTTCTTCCAAGAGATAGAAAAGGACAAGGACGGTAAAAGGATTTTAAGATTTAAGATGCACGACATGGTTCATGATCTTGCACAATATCTTACGAAGAGAGAATGTTCTGTGGTGGAGGTTGATGGGGAGCTAGCAGTAAATTTGGGATCGTCTTATAAAACGACTCGTCATTTGACCCTGGTACGTGCAGAAGAATTTCGCTTTCCTACTTCCATTGCTAATGCAGGAAAACTACACTCGTTTTGGGTTCAATCTTTCTTTGACACGCCTCCAATTATAAGTGAATTGGACAAGATTGATCCAGATTTATGCAATCACTTGGCATGTCTCAAGGCGTTAGATTTAAGTCGTAACAGATTGGGTGAACTTCCAAAAGAAATTGGGAAGTTGATTAGCTTGAAGTTCCTCAATTTATCCCATAACCCATTCTGGGAATTGCCTTCAACATTGTGTGATTTGTATAATTTACAAACCTTGAACCTTTCTGCCTGTGACAATCTCAGAAAATTGCCCCAAGAAATGGGGAAATTAGTAAATTTGAGGCACCTTGAGATAGATTGCACTGATAGTCTTAAGACATTACCAAAAGGGATTGGCGACTTGAGCTCACTTCAGACGTTGAGCAAATTCGTCATTGTCCGTGGTAGTGATGGTGAAACAGCGACATGCGGGCTAGAGGATTTGAAAAACTTGAAGAAGCTCCGAGGATGTCTTAAAATCGAAGGATTGGGTTGCGTGAAAAATGCGGACGAGGCCCGGATAGCAGAGTTGAGTGAAAAGAGACATATTTCGGACTTGCACCTCGACTTCAACTCTAAGGCTCAAACAGGCAATCAAGACGAAGTGATTGAAGCTCTTCAGTTGCACTCTGGGTTGCAATCTTTAGTAATAAGTTCATATGGAGGCACTCGATTCCCCAATTGGATGGTAAGTTTAACCAACCTGAAAGATCTTTCACTTCAAGGGTGCCAAAATTGCACAATTTTGCCTCCTCTTGGAAGGCTTCCGTCCCTGGCAACTCTCCACATAGATAGTCTGCATAATCTGAAATATCTTGGGCTCGAATTTTTGGGTGCAACAGACAATGTGAATGATCAAATCACAACAGATAGCAAAGACAGATCATTGGCATTATCATCAGCTGAAAATATTGCATTCCCAAAGTTGAAGAAGCTGAAATTTTCAAACATGGGAAGTTGGGAAGAATGGAACATGATCAGAGCTGCAGATGAACACATCAAGATCTTGCCTAGACTCCGCTTTTTGAAACTTTACAACTGCAGCAATCTGAAGGCACTGCCGCATCCTCTCTTCAAGGTGGCACCAATAAGGAAGTTGCGTATCCAGAATTGTCCGCTCATACTGCAGAAATACAAGAAGGAAACTGGAGACCAATATTGGAATAGTATTTCCCATATCCCAAAGCTCAAAATATCGTAGAAGTCTTGTGCAAATTGTCTAGTATAGCTTGCTTGTTGTTTATCTTTCTGCCTTTGCCTTAGCCTTCGCTGAGTTATGCTTCATAAACAGTGTCTTCTGTTAGCTAATCTTTTTATGCTATTTTGCTAAGTTATTGCATTCTTGACTTTCTCTTTTCAATCCATTAGATTTGAGTTC